TGGCCATGGCAGCCCAGCTCCTCGTGAAGGCAGAAGCCAAAGGTCTCCGTGCTGCCCTTGCTCAGGAGGTAGAAGCGGGGTTCTCCCACACCGTCAGCAGCTGCATGGGGGCACAGCCTGTGAGCAGAGCCCTGCAGGGATCCTAACACGAGTTCTCTACCCCATCCTGGGCTGGGTCTCCCTGGTGCCTCACACGTTCACTCTCCCACAGCTTCCCAGTGTGAGAGAGCTCAGGACCCCTGTGATGCCCCGCTGCCAGAACCCTGTGCTGACACAGGGATGCCCTGGGGAGGTAAGGGTACTTACCTGTGTCCTCAGCTAGTGACAAGGCAGGGTTGTCGATCCCATCTTTGGGGTTAAATTCAAATTTTCTGAAATGATAGAGGGCAGGAGAGGCCACGTTAGTGCAGCAGCACAGCCTTCCCCCCACCCTCCCCAGCCCTGCCATGGGGAAGCCCGTTCCTCCCAGAAAGGGCCAGCTGGAGACACAGTTCCCGTGCCTCCTCTTCCTTGAGGAAAGTCAAGAGGGGATCTCCCTCTTGAACTGTCCCCCACATCTCTCCTGAGTTAACAACTCAAGGAAGACTTTCCCAGGGCAGATAGCTGGGATTGGCAGCCATGACCCACACCACCTCAGCTGAGGATGTGCCCCAGCACAGCCTGGCTGTGAGGCCATGGGTCCCAAGAAGCTCCCGGCCAGGGGGAGCTCAGCACTCACATGATGGATTTCTTGTCACCATCAAGCCCTGCAGAAGGAGAGGAGAGGTCAGTGCAGGAGGCAGTGGACTGGGAGCAGACCCCACAGTCAGGGCTTGTCCATCTGCAGGCTAAGCATGCCACACCAGGTGAGGTCAGTTTGCCGAGTCCACGCAGCCCCCCCAGCCCTTCTGCCACCCACCCTCAACTACAGCCTGTGCCTCAGCACAGCTCGGCCCTTGGCCCTGCAACCAGTGTCCTCTTGCATTTCAAAGCAGCAGGACATCTGCCACTTGGGTCCAACAGGCACCTGCTGCCCATCCCAGCAGGGTCCTGAAACGCAGGGGACAAGTAGGGCAAAGTGATGGTATGCAGAGGGAGGTTAGTCCTGGAGGATTACAGGGCTTTTGAGTGATGGATGAGAAGGGTGACCAGGGCCCCAGAGAGCTGACTGGAGCCAGGAGATGGAGACAGAGGCCTTCCCCTGTGCACCTCCCCATAAAACCCCTCCCCACCTCTTCCAGCACAAGGATTCCCAAACCCAAGGAGAAAGGATTTCTGCCAAGTGCCCCTAGAATGTCCATCTGCATTTTCCTGGATGCCTCTAGCTCCTTTCCATGGCCTGCCTAGGCTCCAATATTGCCTCGCTTCATGTAGGAGCAGAGCCTGGAGACGTGTGTGTGGGGAAGGGTCTCTGCAGGATGAAGTCCCTCTGCCCCAGCACATACCTTTTGTTTGCTTCATGGCTGCAGGGAATGCAAGAGGGAGCAAGGTACAGGGTGAAGTGGCAGAGAAGCCACTGTCCCCGCCTCTTCCAAGATGCCCCAGTTTAATGGTTAAACAGCCCCGACGTCTCCCCTGCCCTCCCAGTCCCAGGGCACTGCCAGCCCTCACCCAGCAGAGCTGAGAGCAGGGACCAGCACCATGGGACACCCAGCTTGGGAACAGATTTGATGTCCCAGCTTCCAGCTGCTCCCAAGGGCAGCCCATGGTGGGGAAGACCAACAGGTTTGGCATGGGCTGGAGCAGAAGTGGGCTGCCCCATCCTAGCCCTATGAGATGGGGAAGGGCCAGAGCCCTCCATTCCAACTGCTGGAGGGACAGCTGCACCAGCACCTCCACATTCCTCCCCCAGGAAGGGCCTAGAGAGATAGAGTCTCGACACTAGTGTACTTCAGTGGGATCAAAGAGGTGCACTTTAATGCTACCAGAGGTTTCACAAGCAAGCCTGAGTCCTGCCTCTCTGCCACTGCCGTGGCTCATGGCCAGGCCAGCAGCAGACAGGGTGCAGGAGCTGGGTCTCTACAAGCTCAGAAGAACAAGTCCCATTTGCTCCTGGCCTGGTCTCTGTACAGTTCTCCCACACTCCAACCTTGACTGCAGATGAGTGATGAGCCCCACCTACCCAGCACCTTTGACAGCTTTGGTAGCACCCGACCACTAGGCATCTCCATGCGGACAAGGGTGCAGGGGATGTGCTGCTGGGGCACACTCCAGTGTTTCCTCCCCAGTGGCACTGATCTCGTCCTGGCCAAGTGGGTGGACAGCAGGTTAGAGGGTCCCGTGCTGCAGTTTCCCCAGCATCTTCTTGACCTCACTCTCGACTCGTAGGAACTTGGCTTTCCTCCAAGGGTTGGCAGTCTGTCTTCGGCTGCTTTCTAGGTCCTGCAGGATGAGGGCAAGGTGCTGCCGAACGCGCTCGCGGTCCCAGAAAGGCAGGTTCTTCTGCACCACGTTCAGGATATTGGACCAGTAGTCAGAGACATCGGTGCCTGCTGTAAGGAAGACCAGTGCCCTGACGCCGTCCCGGTCCATCCGCAGGCTGTGAAGTGCCCGCTTGCCATCCTCACTGATATCGTTGAAGTACAGACTGTGGGTTGAGAGAAAAGGAGCAGGAGATGCTGTGAGGGCTGGGGACAGGATGCAGAGGCAGACAGGGGCTCCCTGCTCACTGCCACCAGGTCAGAGGCATTGCCTGCAAGAGGGAGGAGATGGGGTAGAGTGAACTCACTGCACTTTGTCCAGCGTCGCGTGCTTTTTGGCAACCTCCACCACGTGCAGGGCAGCTGTGTCCGTCAGGGAGTTGTAGCCCAGGTTGAGCTCCTGGAGGTGCTGGTTCTCAGCCAGGTGCTGAGCAATGACCTCGGCGCCCCGGTCCCCCAGCGCGGTGTGCAGCAGGGACAAATGGGTCAGCGACTGGTTGCCTGCCAGTGCCTCGGCCAGGTATTGTGCCCCCTGCTCACCCACCGGGTTATTTGCCAGCCTGGGGACACAGGAGCTCAGGGTAATGCCGAGGCTGGGCAGGGGACCGAGGGCCAGGGCACAGGCTGGGCAGCAGAGGCAGTTTCATGCAAGGACAGAGGCAGTACTCACCGCAGGTTGCTCACCACACACTTGTCATGCAGGAGCAGGTTGCGGATTTCCTTGCAGGCATCAGAGCCCAGGCTGTTGAGCTGCAGACTGATGCAGAGAAAGACATGGGAGTGGCAAGACCAAAACGGCTGTTACCAGTGGGGCTGGCAACCCTGCTCTCTCCGTTTTCCCTGGCCCTCCCCATCACCATCCTACCTGGGCTCCCCAGATGAGGCCACACAAGGCTTCCTCTCCAAAAGAGGACACACTGGTACCACACCAGAGCTTGGGTAGCATCAGCTGGCAGAGCCAGTGCCAACAGAAGCAAGGGAGGGGAAGGGGGTGCAGGGTCCGCAGGGGGTGGGTGTAGGTCTGAGGAAGGATCAGGACCCCACCAAGCCCCTCTGAGCATCTGAAGGAAGGAAGCGCTGCACAGCCCCACTGCACAGCCGGGTCCATTTCTGACGAGCACGGCTCGCCACCCCCTGGGCGACAGGAAGACTGCAGGGACACAAAGGGACGGGAACGGAACCTTCTGCCTTCCCAGCCTGGACTCCCACCCTTGTGCTGTGTGTCTCCTGCTCGGAGTTAGCAGTAGCAGAGCTACACGGGGATGCTGGGTGGCTCCGGGAGGCCAAGCAATGGCAGGGACCTGGCTGTGCCAGGGGAGCTGGCAGCCCAGCCTGTGGTACAGATGCGAGAGCTACCCAGATTCCTACAGGAGAGTGTGTTGGGACTTCAAATCCCAGCATGCAGCCTCCTAGTGAGGCAGTTCAAGGAATGTTGCACGTTGGAAGCTGTAGTCCCCTAGGTCTACACTGAGGATAAACATGGGCACGCATGCCCTTCCCTACCTTTGCCACGCTCAGGCTCCTTGTGTATCCCTGTGATGGGCAGAGGTGAGGGAGAACCCAATTCCTGAGACCTGCTCAAGGGCATAAGGTGGTAGTACTCACTGGAGAGCTTTGCATCGCAGCAGGACAGGGAAGAGGATCTTCAAGCTGCTTGTGTCAAGGTTGCAGGAGGTCAGGTTCAACTCCTCCACCTCGTGGCACGTGGTGCCCATGACAGATGCCAGGACAGAGCACTTGAGAGGGGTCATCTTGACAGATGAGAGGTTGACAGTCTGTAGGGAACGGATGGCCTCAGCTGTGAAGCGCTCGCTCTGGAACTCATGCAGGAAGAAGAGGTAATCCATCAGCTCGGAGGGGGGCAGCCCCTTGCGGCTGTTCCCGATGACTGTCTTCTTCATGGCCTTGGCAATCTCAAAGGCTGCCAGGTTCTTGATGGAGCAGCCCAGCTGCTCAAGGATGGCACGGTTACGGCGGGACAGTATCCCACCCATGAAGATGGGGAAGAGCTCAAAGACTTCATCATCAGGGGCCTCATCAGGATGGCGCATGGGGCCCTCCACGCCTAGGATGCTGGAATTGATCTGGTCCAGGACATCATCGTTGTAGTAGTCCTCCTCTTTGAACAGCTCCTCTGCCATGGTGTGGGCAATAGCATCTCGGTCCTTACCACTCAGCCGGGAGAAGTAGCGAGGAAAGATTTTGAGCAGGTTGAAGAGCACTGGCAGGAAGCGCAAGGGTAGCACCTTGGAGATGATACTCAGAACAACAGCGACATCTTCACTCACCTTCCCAATGACTTCTGACAGCTCCTTCCCCACTCTCTGTGCTAGGGTCTTCTTCTCACCCAGCACGACATACAGGGCTGCCAGGTACTCCTGCATAGCAGGGATGGTGAAGACAAAGGTATGCTCTTTGCCTGGCTGCACACATGGAGTGAGGAAGAAGCTGAAGACATCGCTGCGAAAGACCTCCAGGAGATTGAGCTCACTTTCAGTCTTCATCTCCACCTCAAAGCACTGCTGCAGGTCATCCTCTGAGAAGCAGGTCTTGCGGGACATCACCCCTTCATAAGCCAGCTTGCCCACCATCTTGGCCACATACTTCATCATGGAAATGTTGGTGGGGTCGGTGCTGTCCAGCACCTCCCCGCTAAAGTTGAGCCTCAGGAAGCTGGTGTAGATGCCAGTCAGAGTCTGGCTGGGAGGCACCGTCCTGGTGAAGTAGAGGAAGTGCAGCGTGGTGCACACTAGCCAGCAGTAAGAGGGCAAGAAGCAGGCAGCAGCTATTTGGTTGTGGCGCTCCAAGTTCCTCGACAGCATCTCCACCAAGTTTTCCTGCTCACCTGAGCTGCTACCTGCACTGCCCTCTCCACTGCAGCCAGGCTGGCTGAGACGCATCTGGAAGTACAACTTCTGCAAGTTGGTGTCAGGGAAGCCACAAATCTCGGCGTAGCGTCCCACATACTTGCCAGGGATCCGGCGCACTGCCGATGGGCGCGTGGTGACAATGATGCTGGCCTGGAAGCAGAGGGCTGGGTGAGTTTGGAGGTGCTCCCTGCGTGGCTTTGATCTAAACTCAGGGTCCCAGGTGCATAACCCACACAGAGGTGCACAAGGATCACCCCACCCAGGGGATGAGGTTCAAGAAGCTGCTGCCCAAAGGGTTGGTTCAAATCTGGCCCAGGCAGAGGGGACAGAAGATCTTTCCCCATCCCCTGCTAGACGTTATATCAAGTCTGGAATACCACAGCCCAGCAGACTGCTGCCTTTGCCTTACCAGGCCTCCCCAAAGATCCCACAGAGATAAACCAGTAACAGTGATGTGAGGCCACCTTGGTGTGTCCCTCCAGGAATGGAGGCTGCCTGTTTGCTCACAGCCAAGCTGGACTACAAGGAATTAGCACAATGGCCGTGCCCCACCCCAGGGCTCACCCCCAACCTTTCTCCAGCATGAAGGAGCTGGAGAGAGATACTGACCTCTGGCAGGAGGTATTTCCGCAGCAGGTTGACCACGATGGCAGAGGGAGTCACAGGCTCATTTGGGTCGCAGCACAGCTCCGTGCCAGCCAGACGGAAGTCCAAGTTGAGGCGCTCCAGACCATTGAGGATGAAAAGCACCTTGAGGTTGGAAGCACCCAGTGTTGGCACCACATCCCGGAGGTGCTGGTACTTCTTGGTTATGAGGCGCCGCAAGGAAATGGGGGCATGACTATGAGACAGGTCCTCACAGGAGAAGGGAATGACCAACTCAAAGCGGGGCAGGCGACCATGGCACCAGTCAACCACCATCTTCTTGATGAGGGTGCTCTTCCCTGTGCCCACGGTGCCATACAGCACCACATTTTTCACCTGCCGCCCACAGGCATCCACATCAAAAAGGTTCTGGAGGCTGATAACCTGTCTGCAGGGCTGCTGGAGCTGGTTCTGGATAGTTAGGTCAGGTGAGGGCTTCAGGATCTCCTCCAGGGAGCTCTCTCGGATCACTGGGTCCACATGGACTGCATCCAGCGAGAAGGAAGGGCCAAACTGCCTCTCCTCATTGGGCTGGTGGCTGAACCATGCAGATAGACTCTTCTGGTGTTTCTTGATGGCATCTGGGAAGAGGAAGGTGCTTGACAAGAGAAAGGCTTTTCACAGGCAGAGGACCAGGGAAGTTGCCTGCCCCAAGCCACTGCAGTGAGGTGACTGCAGAGAGGACAGAACCCAGTTCTTACCAACCCTCACGCTACCCAGGACAGCAGCTGCCCCCAACTCACTATGTAGGACCCTTCATCCTCTTCAGCTGCGAGCTTACCAGAAGAGGCCACATTCCTCAGCTGGGACAGGCCATGGCGGGAGGAGCTGGGCTGGACAGAGTGCTCCTGGGACCCTCCCTGGTAGCGAACACAGCCCCTGTAAGAGGAGGAAGACTGTCCTGAGGAGAGCAGAGACCAGCAGCTCCAAGCCCTGCCTGGGGCAGGGGGGCGCAGATCTCAACTGAGTGCTGTGGGAAGTGCTGAGTAAAGCCATCTCACCCCTTCCTTCCCCCACACCAAGGGAGAGCGCAGGGCTGGGGCAAAGACATGGCTGGGAACTGAAGGAGGCAGGTGAGCAAGCCATGCGCTGTGCGTCCCCAGCAAACCCGTGGCAAGTCAGAGAAGTTGGGCTGAATTTAGAGCAGGCAGGAAGCTGGCTCTGGGTTGTTTTCTAGGTGGAGGCAAAGCAGCATCTCTGCCCACAGAGCCCTGATGGTCCCAAGGCAGCCAGCTCAACCACCCAGGTCCCATGGCAAACAGCCTCAGGGCGCAATGGGCCAGGCAGCTGCATGGCCCTGTACCTCGGTAGGGAGATGCCACTTGCACGAAGGATCTTCCTGAGGCAGTAGCCACCTCTTGTGCCTAGGGGGGGAGAAGAATGCACACAGTCAGGGATGGCCTTCTCCAGCCCAGCAGAGCTACCACCACTGAGCTCACTGGCTGCACGTGTTGCTGGGGTGACCCACAGACTGCACAGGTTCCACTGTGCAGCTAGGGAGGGATGTCCACCAGGGACAGGGCTTCCTTTGGGGCAAGACAGATTCAGGGTCACAGTCCCACAGGCACAGAGCCCAGCTCACCTGGTTCTGAAGCAGCACACAGATACACACTCCGGGTCCCCCTGCTCCCTGGCAGGGATCGACGCAGCTGTGTCCAGCTGCCCCAGGGCAGGCAGCTCTGGCATTGCATGGCCCGCAACATCCTCTGCCTGAAAGAGAGGGGACAGCCCAGAAGGCAGGCTGGGTTCCTGGACCTGCCAGTTCCCTACTCCAGCCCAGCCTTGCAGCCTGAGGCTGTACCTAGCCCCAGCCCAGGGACACTTGGATCAGGAATGACTCACTCCCACATCTGACCCCACAAGCCCACCAGCCATGGGGAGCACTGGTGGGCTGGCTGTCAGGGTGGCTGCAGCAGAGCTGAGCTGGCAGAAGCATGTCCTGCCTTGGAATCCCCATCCAGCACCCTTCACAGACCTACCTGGGCATTGCCTTGGCTGGGCTGCAGCCAAGAGGGCAGCAAAGTAGGGCCCCGAGGAGGTGCTCGCCCTGCCAGGCAAGCCTGTGTGCCCCCCAAAACAACTCCAACCACCCAGGGCCTCAGATGGGACCAGCCACATAATTCACTGGGGGCACAAAGGGTGGAGAACGTTCTCCTCCTTGTTAGCAGCCAAAAGTCACTAGCCTAGACTTGGCTGCAACAGTATAGCTGTAACCACCATAACCAAGAGGACAAAAGCGCTGGGGAGAGGGCAAGCTTCCTCCTCCCAGGCTTGACAACTTGACATTTTAGGGCTTTCCATTAGAACAAACCAACTGCCCTCCCCAAAATGCCATGAAATCCTGTAAAACCGGGAGCTGGGAGAGAAGAGGCAGCAGGGAGGAGCTTAGGAAAAGCAGAAAACAAAAGTGATCCCATACCCACGTGCATGGTGGCTTCACCCAGTTCAGCACTGGTGTGCCCCGGGGCTACCCCGTGGTGGCTGGCCCTGCAGAGCAGTGCTGTCCCATGGCAAGCAGCCCTTGCCACCACTGAGCCCTCTCTCCTGCTTTACCAGGGGTGCTGAGCACAGCCTCCTCCCACCTAAAGCAGTTGGGGAGGCTGCAGCCAGTAGCAGCCCAGGCACTGCCTTGCCCAGTGTTACCTCCCCTGATACGGTCCAGTCCAGTCCGGCAGAACCGGCTGTGCCGGCGCTGACTCAGGCTCCCGCCCCAGCTCAGCGGTGTGATCAGCCAGGAGCACAGGTTGTGCCAGCCCCTAACGTCTTGAGAAACTGAGGCACGGGGAGGAGGGTCCAAGCAAACCCCAGCAGATAGGAAGGGACAGAGTGCAAATCTCTGCATTTGGCCTCCCCCAGGAGAGGATGAGCAGGGTGACAGCTTGCTCACACCTCCCACAGCCCAGGCTTCTTACAGTCCCTGGCCATGTTATCCAGATGGAGAAAATAAGGCAGGGAGATAGGGGCAGGGGAGCTGACCTTGAACATGGGTGTCCTGGCCTCCAGGCTTTTGCAGCAAGTGAATCCTGATGAGTCCCATGCCTGCCTCCCTGGCCCTTCCCTGCACCCTCTGCCGTCCCGGCTACACCCCGCGCTGCCGGCCTGCTGCGGCTCCCCTTCAGGGACCCCTGCCACATGCCTGCCCACGCACCCTCACTCTCTGCTTACCGTGGCCTCTTGCCTCCCTGCTTCCGTGTCCAGAGGGACGCGGTGGCTGCGACCCTGGCAGTGTGGTGACCTGGAGCCCGGGGCAATGGTGAAGCCGGCGCTGAGCAAGGCGAGAGCGATGGCTGCGCCTAAAGCGGCGGGATCACCTCCAGCAGGACTCCTGGCCAAGGAGGCTGAGCCCACAGCTCCCTGTGCTCGTGCTGCCAGGTGCTGCTGAGCCCCTGGAGGAGAGCTCGGTGCTGCTCAGCTGCCTCCTTCCATCCCTGCGCCGGGAAGAAGCTCCTCTCCGGAGGTGGCTGTGTAACTCCCGCCAACGCCCACCTGTCCCATCCCGCCCCGCGCACGGCGGCTGCCAGCTCTGCCGAGCAGGGCAGGGAGAGCGGCCACGGCCCCGCTTTGGGGATGTGCCAGAGGGGCTGGCAGGCACAAGGGCAAGGAAAAACACGTGTACCCCCAAACACAGAGACACAGTATAGGGGAGCTCCTGGGGTCTTACCAGTGGTGCTGGAAAAGAGAGGTTTCTGTTGGACACATCTGGTGGCTCTGCTTCCCGTGGTCAGCTGTGCAACGGGAGCTCTCAAGGACAAGTCCTGCTCCAGAGTGAAATACCCATGTGCTCAGCTGCCACCACCTCACACCGAGCACAGTGCAGGGAGTGGGACAACAGGAGCCCCACAGGGAAAACAGCCCAGGGGAAGCTGTGCTGGCAGGGCAGCCAAGCACCACCTGGTTTTACCTGGCTGTGTAACACCTGTGCATGGACAGACACACAGACACACAGACACACACACACAGAGTTCACACTCGGGTAACCCCGGAGGCCACACTTGCACCCCCAAGGCCTGCACAGAGCCCACACAGACATGCACGTCCCTGCACATCTTTGCACACACTCAGCACCCTTCCCCAGCAATGTGTGCAGCCACCCACCCACGTGCTGCCCCCCAGCACCCACCTCCACCCCCTGATGCAGGGATGCCTGTTGGTGTACACAGGCACACACATCTCCCCTTGCACCCTTGCGTGCATGTCCTCCAGCTGCTCAGGGAGGGGAGGCATCCAGGCAGTACACTATAAATATAAGTTTTATTGATGTGTGAAATCCAACAAGTACAGCTGGCATCTCAGAATGACTGAAATTAGCCACAACATCTCCACCTGCTCAACAGCTCCTGGGGCTCTCCGGACACTGGTGAACACCAGCAGCAAGCTGAGATCTGGGCACCCTGTCCCTTCAGGGCACTTACCTCTGTGTGTGGCACAGCCCAGAGAGCCAGAAGGGCCCTGCCAGCAGCCCTCTGCTCCCCTAAGAGCCCAGGGGCTCACCTCCACGCTGCCTGGTTCCTGCCAGTCTGCAGCTGCAGGCAGCCATGCCCTGGCCCTGTTTCGCAGCCTCCTCCTAGCAAGGCAGAAGGACTCAAGCAAATGCCACCCACACACAGCTACCACAGCAGAGCTACAGCTGTGCGAGGAGACTCCCTTGGCCTTTGAGCCATTATCTGCATCTTCTTTTGGAAAAAAGCAGCTCACCTCTGGTTATGTGGAAGCATAGGTTTCAATAGCTTCACCTCTCTGCGTGGTCCACCTCTGCCCTGTATCACACATGCAGCCCACTGTACAACCTCCTCTGCACGTGTGGACAAGGTGAAGGTTGGAAAACCAGATGGTCCAGCGTGGCAGGGATGCACAAAGAGATCACAGGCAGCCACAGGCTGCCCAAGGGCACCAGGAGCTCCCATGGCAGAGGGACAGGACAAGTGGTGTCCACACACAGCGAGAATGAAACACTGTTTTATTGCCTGATTTGAGAGAGGGGTTAAACCCTGGGAGAAAGCCCATCCTCTCCCTGTCCTAGCCCAGACTCCCCTCCAGCAAACCCTAGCACCAGCAGGTGATGACGCATTTGCTCTTGTGCATGTGACAAAGGTGGCCTGGACATGCGTGGAGGTGAGAGGCCATACCCCTGCTTGCCTGCCTGCATTCACAGGACGCACTGGGGAGAGGCAAGCTGATACAAGCATGCCTGTGGGCTGAAGGAGCCAGGCTAAGGGGCTGAAGGAGTTTTAGATGGGTTGAGGTTCAACCGGTGCTCCCAGGGAGCTGGAGCCATGGCATGAACCACACCCTCATCCATTCAAAGTGCATTGCAAGGGAAGGCAGGAGAGGAGAGGAGGTGTGGGGGAAGAAGCCTGCTCTCCTCCATCACACTCCTCGTGATTATCCAGACGCGTTACCTGGTGGGATTCCTGTAGCCAGAAGCACCCACAGCCCCACTCTCCTGCTCTGATAAAGTGCATCCTCACTGCTGTGTGCCAGCTCAGCATGTGGGTGCTCCCCACCCACCCAGGACAAGGCAAGACCCAGCCTGGGCACTCCTAGCCCCAAACTACAAACCAACCAGTGTTATTGCCAAGGGGTCCTGCCCAGCTTAGAGTGCCTCTCCTGCCCTGAAGAAATCGTTCCAGAGAAATGCCTGCTAGCCAGAGGGCTGGAGCAGCCCAGCCTTGCTCCACTAAGGGCTCCCCAGAGCAGGGCAGCTCTATCCCATCCTTCTGCCATGCCAGGGCAGAGACAACCCCCTTGCCCTGCTCCTGCCAGGCAAGGGCTCACCCAGGCAGTAGAGGGGCAATAAATCCTGAGTGCTTAGCCCAGCCACGCCAGCCTGCAGGGCTCAGTGCAAACATGTTTGGTTCCTATGCATTCCTCTGTGCCTTCCACCATCTCTGGGATTGTCCTCGCTGAGAGGGAAGGGGCAATGGATGGCCCAGTTCTGGCACCTCGGCTCAGTTTGCTCCTTGGGCACCATCACGGGTGCCTTTGCCTGGGGCAGGGTCTGCCAGACCCAAGCCCTCTGTGCCACGGCATTGCCCATCACTCATTGCGACCCCTTCGTACCAACACATTCACTTGCTGGCTCTGCTGAGAGTGCTGGTGCCCTTCTCCAGGGTGCCTCAGGCCTCCCACTGCCCTGGCCCTGGGGATGAGGGGTGCCTGCCCCATAACCCCCACTCCCCAGTGGGGAGTCCTCGCCCAGCTTGGCGACACAGTCGTCCTCCATCTCCAGAGCTCGTCCCAGCCCTCTGTCCTGCAGTGGTCTCGTACCGGGTCAGCCAGGACTCCGCAACCCGCGCACTCACCGGCACAGGAGACCTGGGCTGTGCTGAACTGTCCTGAAGATCTTGGGGGTGCTGCCAACTGCCCTG